TGTCCCCAGCTGTGATTAGGGTTGTAGCTGATACGTGGTTGCACTTGAGGTGCAGATTGGTCCTCCACCACCTGGGTGGCAATTATGGATAGGAGTTTCTGAAGATTTACCTCCCATTAATCAGATTGTGCCAGCATATGGTACGTAACTTGTGTTGATGCTGAGACTTGTTCAGGCTGCCCCAGTGGTTTTGAACAGTTGAAATAGATCATTATATACTCCATATAGTTAGGGAAATTACTGAGCTGATATTAAGCTTAGCGCAGAACAAGATGCAAAGCCAAACTTGGTATGCTTGCAGAAGGAGTACTACATTTTTCATAAATTACAGTAAGTAAAAGGTATTTAAAATTGTGTTTTGTAGTCTTCTCTCTTATTTGGAAGTAGTGAACTGTGTCAATTCTGGCACCATTACCAAGTTGTTAAATGCTTGTGTCTGGGAATTTAATTAGGATCTCTGAGATATATGCAGTATATTGTCCCTCCATATGAACCAAAACCAGAAGAGCTTGCTGAGATAGACCAGGGTAGAGATTGCAGCATCTTATTTGTTGACCTTTTTTGCCTTGTCAGTTACTATGTTCTTAACAGGACACTGTTCTCCATCTTCGGGCATGTGAAAAGCTGCCTTTCCACTACCTAATTCTTTGCAAAGAGAATGAAGAATAAAAAAGAATTTTTGAAATAGCAGTAGTGCAGTACAGCAAAATAAGTCCTTTACGTTAGGAAGCTGTTTGGCACTTGTTTTCATAAGGGATGAAGATAAAATTGCATTGACACATAACTGTAAATACTAGATTTATGTCACTCAAATTATCTGGAGTCTATTCTGCAGATCATTAATTTTACTTCAAATTATTTTACTGTTTGACATGTTATTTCATTACTACTTGTCCCTGCTGCAAGCCTCAGTAGTTTAGGTACAGCTGTAATAGGAATAAGTTTATTTTCTGAAAGTCCTGTAGCAGTGATGGGTCAAATAGTGAATCAGGACCCTTATTATATGTGGAATGAGAGCAAGAAATTTTTATTTAGATCTCTTATGATGCCACCTGTTCTTGTTGAATTTAACTGGTTGGATGTGTGACACGGATATTCTTGCACATTGTAGCTGACTTCCTCTTCTGTTTGTTCCATGCCTGTATTGATAGGGAGCTCTTAATAGTTTTTTAATGTTTTCTGGGATCTGGCAGAATCTCAGTGAGTCAAAGTATTTTGCATTCTGATTATGTAGCAGAAAGTAGGAAAATTATCACACTTACAGTGTGTGTGATATCACACACAGTGGTTATGCAAGTTTTATATTGCTGTATAACAATTTTTGAAAGAGACCATTGGACTCCACATTCTGTCTTGTTCTGTGTTGGTTTTGACTGTGAGTTATTGCTGACTTGCCTGCTAAGGTTAACAGGAGGCAATGGCATTTTGATTTGCTCTGTTGTGTTTAGAGCTCTGAGGGTACAGTTGAGCAGTTGCTCATCAGCCAATAACAGAACAGTAAAAATAAGAATTCAGGGTTCCTCTGGTTTGTCGTTTTGTCCAGTGTGTCTAAGGATGATCAGTTCCTGATGAAATGAGAATAGTTTCTTCAGTATACTCTTTCTGCCAAGAATGAAAGGTGATGCTATGGAGCTGAAGTTTTCTTCCCGTTTTCTAAGGCTCCAAGTTCTCCACAGCTTGCAGGAGTCTCCACATATGCTGAAAGATGTAAAAGAGCAGTAGCTGAAACTACTGCAAGACTGACAATGAATGTGGTGACCAAAATCTGACTGATACTGATACAGTGTTCCTGAGTGCTGTGGCTCCCTTGAAACCAGGGCTTTCTTTAGCAGCTTATTTTGTTATCTCTCTCATAGTGTGACATTTTTGCTGGAAGGTATGTTGTATGTTGACCTTCTCTGAACCTGGAAGTCCTCATATAGAGGTGACCGAACAGTCCTACAAGATACTCTAGTTCTTTGTCTTGCCTAAATAAGAATTGTTTTCCTGCAAGTGTGTTGACACTGTTATTTGTCGTAGGTGCTTTGATATTGTGAAGGCAGTAGTGAAAAAGAAAACAAACAAAAAAAAAGCCAAACCACCACAAACTGGATTTCTTTGATAGCACTGAGTTCTTGCCACTAAATTACCCTACCACTAGGGTAAGATTATAAGGATAAGGTATGTCATGACAGGGGAAGCATATTTAAATGTGAAAGCTCATCTTTATAATTGAGAATGAGCAAAACCCAACAAATATAGGGAGAAGAAAATTTGTTTGAGTTTCTACTAGACATCCCCAAAAACCCCCCCCAAAATATCAGGCTGAAGTTGCTTAAGCTGGGTTTCTTACTACAGCCCGCTTAGTTTAGGGAGGCACTGGGAGCACCTGATGGACTGTAAATTGCTGTGAGTGGGGACTTGCTGATTGAGGTGTAGCCTGGGATGGCTGAGGTGCCGTGTTCGTTTATGTAGCAGTCCTGAACAGATTTCTCTTGTGCTGTTCTGGGATGGTTGTGAGAAAGGAGGACGTAATAACATGTAGACTCAATTCTTTACTTATGTTCGGTTTGGCCTCTTTTCTCTCCAGAGCAGACTCATGGCATCATTGTGGGACTCATGGCGAGTCATTGTGGGAAAAACTTGTAGGCCCTGAAAGAGGGCTAAGCATCCTGCGGATAAGAGACAAGCAAAGACCAAATTTGTTCTTGTAGATGTTGTAATTACAATGTAGTTACATTATTAGATCAGAAAACATATAACAAGATTTTGAATAATATGTTCTTAAGAAGTTGGTTTCTGTCACTTGAAGGTGATCTGGTATAGCTCAAAAAATGCAGAGGTTCCTAATCCGTATGAAGCAGGGCAGAAACAAGAAGCTAAGTAAAGCAGCAGTCAATGCTGTCTTTATTCAGGCACTGTCAAAGACGAATTCACAGACCAAAGGATATTGTCATATTCTATTTACTAAAGGTTGAACAGAGATGTAGCTTGGTTCACTTGTAAGCTGTTGCATTACAAGGAGTAATGCTAAAGTGGGCTCTTGACAAGTTAAGACCATTTTGAGAAAGGGCTGAAAATATGCTCTGCAGCTGTTAGAGGAAGAAACAGAAGATGTGCTAGGCATAACAGACTAGAAAGAGATACGGACCAACTTGTCCTTCGCTACATTGGCAAGAGCTAGAGATGGTATCATAGTGCACATTCCACTATCTGCTGCTGAGGGGGCTGGAACTGTGATTTTTCTTCCTTCTTTCCCAACTTTGAATTTGGACACTGTGCTGCACTGGTATAACTTTTCTGGTTGCTGGCAGAGAGGAGAAATGTCTACTTTCTCCTGCTGTGGTGTTTATTCTTTGCTCCCTCATCGACATTCTCTACCTGTCAGAAATGTTCTGAAGTGTATTCTCTGCACATGGGCAGGTTTGTGGAACTGATAAGTGTTTGGTCTCTGCTGCAGCTCAGAATGAAATTAGCAAGATATTTAAAGTTTCTTGATGGAGATCCCTCACATAAGAGGCTTGAATGACCCTTGTGCATCTTTGTAAACAAAAAAGATGAGCTTGTAATTGAGATGATGTGTTAGTATAAAGGGATTAAATTATTTCCCAAAGCATGCTTGTTTAAATCCTTGAGTTTAACTTTTAAGCACTTAATCTGAAGAATTTATTGCATTCCACATGTAGCTAATTATTTCTGAGTAAACCTGTCCGTGTGACACTGGTTATTCTGAATAAATGGAGTTGAAGAACCTTTATTCATTTGTTAAAAAGGGAGATGCAGTACTGTATTCTGTATTTCAGCTGTGCTGTGTGAAATAGTTACAGCTAATTAACATTTGACTTTCTTTTCATCTCCAATGTATTTGTGTATTGGTCTTAAAATAGTACTTTATTATTCTGTACTTTAAAAATTCGGGATCTATATGGTGATTGTGCTTGCAGATGTGTAAGGTTATAAGTAGGGTTTTTTTCTGCCTTAACAGTTAGATCGCTGTCCCTCGTAATCTGTTGAAATTATAGTAGATGAAGAAGTCGTGTTGCGTGAGAGGCTTTGTAGTAACCAGCAAACCTGATACCTCATCCAGATGCATTCAGGTATAGAGCAAGTAATGATTTCATATCACTTAGTTCTTCTGAATTCATGCAGTATTTGAAAACTGATAGATGAATGGCTTTAAGGATTTTTTTATTGTTGTTGAAAAGTTACAAGGGCTTGAAAAAAATTACTGTCTCCTAGCCAAGGAGTAAGTTTTTCTGGCTAACAGTAGCTGTGGAAAGTGAAGGGTGGATGTTCCCACGAAGAATTTCATGGCAGCCACCAGATGCCTTGCTGTTCTGTTTTTTTTTTTTGCTGTGAGAATGTTGGAAATGCATCAAAATACAGTCCTTCTGTCTGACTTTTTTGTCTCTAGGCTCCTGTAGGTATGCCACAGTTTAATTTTAGTGCTTCCTTTGAGGCATTGCGCTCTTCTGGGAATTTTGAATGTAATTTATACCATTACAAAAATGAAAAGGAGCTGCATTTTAGGAAAAGACAGTGTACCTGCCACCATAGGTAGATTGTCTGATTTATTTGCTAAGATTTTGTTTAACAAGGAGTTAGTCCGATATTTCTTTTCTCTCAGTGGGTATAAGTAGAGTTTTGCTTTTAACTGATGCGTGTTTCCACAAAATTTGTAAACGCTTTATTTATTTTTGAGACTTCTGCTTTTTTACACATCTGCTTTCTGCATCTTCAGCTTCTCTATTAAACTTGTATGAATTCCCCCCCTTCTGATACTTCAGCAAAGGGCTCTAAGAAACTGTATGATCAACTATGCCTTTTTTTGGTAGAAAGCAGGCTGAAAATCTTGTCCTAGAATCCCTGCCACTCAAAAGACAAAAATACCTGACTGTCTCCAAATGTAACCTGCCTGTGATTGAACAATCCTGCCTTGCTAATTAATATGAATGAGAGAGTTTCTTGAATATTTTTATTTTGCTGGGCTTCTCATCTAACTGAATAACTTTATCTTTCAGTACCAAGATAAGGAGGAAGTTGTTTTATGGATGAATACAGTAGGACCCTACCACAATCGCCAGGAAACATACAAATACTTCTCTCTTCCTTTCTGTGTGGGATCAAAAAAAAGCATCAGCCATTACCATGAAACCCTAGGAGAAGCACTTCAAGGAGTTGAATTGGAGTTTAGTGGTCTTGACATCAAATTTAAAGGTAAGCAATTGAAAGTGCATTTAGTCACTTAAAAAACCCCCCACAAACCCAGTCAGACAGGTTTAGAATTGTAAAGCATGTTCATCTAATTTTTCCTGAAATAACCTGAGATAGATGAAACTTTCCGTTTATCTTCTGTCTCCTCTTGTGACCACTGTATAGTCTATAGTCAAATATTAGCTTTCCAGAGTACTTTCTGCCATTTCTGAGGGAAGTATGGAGAAGCAGAGCATTGGACAAATCTCTTCTGTGAATAACCTGCAAAATACCTTAATAATGGAGAAATTAATGCATTTCTGTTTCAGTAATTCTTTAATCTAATTAAAGAACACTTTAGAACACTTAGAAAAAAGATAATTAACATATGATTTCATAAACAAAAACAAGTAGAACTTGAGTAACATTGAACCTCCAGCTCCTCAATACGTAGAAATCGGTACCATTCCTGTTTGGTTAAGAGAAGTCTTTTGGAATTCTGAACTACAGGGGCCAAAGTCATTCCAGACTAACACAAATTCAGAATGGTGGAAAGATGCTGTGGTTTTTGTACCTTGTGATTGTTTTGGCTTTAATTATGTCCCTGCCAGATTAATTCATCTATTGTCTTCCGTAGTTCTTTACAACAAGTACACCTGTTTTCCTTAAGTCTTATTTTGCTTTCAGGTTAGGATTTTCAAATTCTTATTTATAACTGCTTTTGCTGATGTTTTGACACAGAAAACTTTAGATTTTGTCTATTGTAAGTATTATTTATTGCAGTGGATCCATGAAGTGAAATCTGAATGGGAGTCAACTCTATTTTACTATCTTTAATCTGCTATTAAAAGTATTAAAATATCTTTTTTCAAAGTATAAATTAGTAGCAGTAGTTATTAGTACTTATTTACTATAAAATCATGTAAAATTTGTTGAAAACCAAATCCCCTTCATATACAGATTTTTAAAGTTACAAAAACAGAACAGGATTGCTATCAGATTCATTTTTTACAGGCTTAAAAGCTGTCATAAAACCAGTACAATTTATATCCAATGCTTGTAGGAAAATCTAAGTTTCATAGACCAGCCCTTAAAATTTAGCATTTATATAAAGGATTCTTTTCCAGTTTAGTTGTTGAAATGTGATGATAGTTTTTTGGTGACTCTTTAATGGTACATCTTGTTCTTGTCTGAAGTGGTGTTGACTTTTAAAAAAAAATAATTGTAACTGGATTATATCAGTGAAATTGAAATTTTTTTTTTTTAATGAATAAATTTTATGTAATTGTGATTGATTCATGCTCCCACCTCTGCACCAGTGGTCCAGAAGTTGCTGCAATGAAATTGAAACAAAGTTGTGGGTGTTTAGTGGTTTTGTTTGTGGGTTTTTTTTTTTCCTTAACAAATAGAAGCTTATGTTTGGGCACCAACAGATTCATATGTTCTTAAGACGAAGATACAGCTTCAAAGGGTGTTGAGTATCTAACATCTACAGCTGAAATAATTAAGAGCTGCTCAAGTACTTTTCCATAATCATTTAGATGCTTGAATATGCATTTAAATATCTAACCATAGGGACCTGCTTTTCAAAATGTTGGCATGACCGTCTGAAAGACTTGTACAGATTTTCATCAAATCTAAGCTCTGAGTTGAGAGGTAATCATGTTTTTCCTCATGTGTGTTTGGGATTATGCAAGACTAACAAGTACTGGTGTTTTTCATTTTTGAAGAGTGTTGTAAGAGTTTACAAAGTTCAATTAGATTTGCATTTTATATCTAAAGATATATTTTTATATATATCTTTAGATTTTTATCCTCTGAAGTGAGTAAAGGGGAATTAGAATTGTTAGCTTCTGCAGTGAAAAACAGTTCCCTTTTCAACATAGTTTGACTGGACAGCAGTAGCAGGAAAGTATGAAACTGTATGTTGTTCATCATATTCAAAGAATTTTTTAGGCTGCAGCTGTCAGTAACTGAAGTACTGTAGACGATGTAAGTAAAACTGTCAGTTGAATCAGTGGACCTTGCCTGTATTTTTCGAAATAGAATAAGAAAATTATGGCTCTGCAGAAATGCATTGTGCTGAGAATGGAGGTTTGCACTTGAATGCTCGTAGTGGTGACTGGTGGGGCAAATCTGCAGTGTATTCAAGAATTCAGGAAGTAGTGTTTCTTTTTGTATTTAAAAATTTACCATGTGAACATATAGGATAGCTGGATTTCCCTTCTGTTACAAACGTGAACCATAATGTTATTCTTACATCACAGGTCTCAAATTTGTATAAATATCTTTGCGAAGAAAGTAATGAGTTATTAACATACACTTATATTGTAATGTAACTGTAAGTTGTCAGCTGGCTTAATTCTCTTGTCAAGCTAAATCTAGAGTAATAATGCTTTTTATGTAATATGTCAGGTTCTTTATTCAGGCATTTGAATTGACATCCTCTATTTTACACCTGAGACCTAGTGAATTATTAAATGTATTGAACATTGGGATCATAGAGACTTCAATTAGAAAATTAATTTTTGACATTGCCATACAATACCAATCAGAGAAGATGAATTTAAAAGGGGAAAGGATTTTTCAACATACTTGCATTTTGCGCTTCTTTAGAAAGGTTATTAAATAACCATACTTCTAAGTGAGATCTCCTTGCCCAAGGCTTCCTTCTGGAACACCTCTAAAAAATGACAGGCATTCAGGATGATGTTCATGTTGTGCTATGATGTTCAGTGCTGTACTAAGAGATGATCAGATATAATGAGGTTTTATATGTTTGAGTAAAACCCACTTGATATGACTGTCCATGAGAAATTTAAAATCTGACATAAGCACACCTGTTTTTGTAATGAGTCTTGCTTTCATGCTCTTTTAAAATTTGCTTAATGTGCCACTGAAGTTACTGAAGCTGTATTATGTAGCAGATGTTACCTCTTTGACATCCCTGATGTAGACACAACACAAAACATACCTCTAACTTCACACTCCTCTTAGATACACACACAACCATAGCTTGGGTAAGAACTGTCTAATATACACAAAACTTCAGATGTGGTAAAGCTGTAATGAAGTAGACTTCAGCTTCCCCAGGCACTGAATACTCTTCTAGACTACTTTCACTTAATCATTCAACACAGTGGACTTAAGCTTAATCATCTAATCCTCTCCAATAATTAAACAACAGCTTCAGCATTCTCAGCGGTTGGAGAAAGGAGCACTTTTCTTCATTCCTCTTGCCTTCATTCACTTGTTTTCGGGGGAGGTGAGAGGAACTGTACTGTGTAGTATGGCTGAGGGTGAAATTGTGTACGCTATGTAAAGTCACACATACGTTTTGCAAGAATTGACTGGGGTTGTTTCTAATTATTCTGTTGGGGTTTTGTGCTGTTTACATCCTAGAGTATTAGATGCAGAATGGCTCATTTCTGTTAGTGTTTAAACAAACAAAAAAAAAGTCAAATTCCAGGGGTCTGAAACTCCATGGAGTAACAATCTAATACCAAATTTGTCTTCGTTAATAACTGCAAACAAAGGCTTCTGTATTCAAGCGATAAATGGGAAAGGTCTCTAAAAAGAGCACTTGTAGTTCATGTGACTTTTATTTCACTAGTAGGACTTGTTCCTGACCCTGTGTTGTCCTTCAGTTGTGCTGGAACCAGGGTGGGCGCTGTGTGTGTGTGTGTGTGTACACACGTACACCAGTCACGAGAGAGCCACCTTCTGTGGCTAATGCTTCTGCTAGGTAATGCTTCATTTAACAGTCTTTTACCAGTTTCTCTTTTACCCTCATTTTAATTCACAGTATATTTTCATTTGACTTATGTCTGTTGAACAATCCTTTCCAAGTTAAAAAATTTAACATTAGAAAGGTGTTATCCTTTATTTGAGTATAGTATGAAACTGCTGGAGAGTGACAATAAGGTGGCAAGTATTTTGGAAAGAATTAATTCCTTCTTAGCAACAAATACAGAAGATAGGGATTCTGTTTTTTTTCCTTTTAATTAATATCAAGATGACTCAATCTGTTAAAGTGAAAAAGTGCAAAGCAGAGGCTATTTTTTGGGGAACATGGTCCAAAAAGTGTATGATCTGGCTCAGTGGATGCATAAATGCAAACTGAGGCCTGGATTTGTAAGTCCGTGTTTCAGCTGTGGTACCAACTTCAGTGACTTCCTTCTCCTGAATGTACCAGTCCAGGCCCTGAAAATGTAATCTAAGCTCTGAAGCTTAGAGTGCATTTGTTAGGTCTTGGAAGAAACAATAATAGAAGAATACTAAAGTTTTCATAAGAAATAGGAGAAAGAGATGCATCCATTCCAGAATAGCCAGGGGCACTATTTTTTCCAGGGCTATAGGAAATCACTGCAACTATGCAGGACTGCTTTTGGCTGGCTTCTTACTGTCTTGCTTGACCAGACATACTGTGCCTATTTTCATTCTGACAAATTGTTGTTATCAGAGCAATGGTGTTTTGTGTTGGAAATATTCTGCTTGCTGGTGCTTTTTTTGTGCAGGTGAATTGATTTTGCTTTTAAGCTTTATATTGCAGTCGGTGTATAGGACAAAATAAGCTGCATTTTGATACAGGTTAGAGCTGTACTTGGGGCATAAATTAATTTTATCTGCTAGAAATGGGTCCTTGATGCCAGTGATGACAGGAGAGTGGGAGCTGGAATTATTTACATTCACTTTGTTTCACTATTTGCAGAGTGAAAACATTTACTAAGAAGCTGATGGAGGGTTTTTTTTTGTTTCTAAATCTGTTGCTGCCTGAATTCTTGTAAATATGAACCCTTTTGTCTTTTTCACTTGAAAAGGAAAGATTAGGGAAGGAAATTGGGATATGAAAGAATGGCTGCTAACTGCATTACTTACGAATTGTAGATGAGGAAAAATAGCTTTCTGGCTCAAAGCGGTAGATTTATTTTATTTCCAAATGTAGCCTCTTCTGCATTCTTTGCATTATTCCTCTTTTTGTCTTCTGTCCTTTTTTTCTACCTTTACCCTGATTGCTTTGTTTCTTCCTTTATGATGGTTTTTTGAAAATTGCTGAGAACTTTAAAAAGTTTTATTTTTTTATGAACAGTATTTGCTAATTAGTGAGCCTGATTATACTAAAATGGAGAGATAATATCATACACAGTTTTCAGTATTTGTTAATAATTTCATGCCTCTTGTTAAAGTAAAAGAGGTCTCATGGTCTGTCCAGCTAAAGCTGCCATCAGCTAATAGGTCTTAATTTTAGTGTGGGTGAAGTAGCAAAAGGATACTTTGAAACCTTTCCATATCCAGTTTGTGGGAAGCTTCTGCATGTGAAAGAGCAGAATTGCAAAAGCAATTGTGTAATGGCTTTAATGGTTAATGGTTCCTTTTTAAATGACCTCTTTTTTTGCCTACTTGAGGATAGCCAAGAGGGGTTAAAGACTCCAGCAGTGTCTGTGCCTCCATTTGCTTGATTTGCTTCTGCTTTGAGCCAGCTCATTAATAAATCATTAATTGTGCTTTAATTTTTTGCAGACGATGTAATGCAGACTACTTACTGTGAAATTGACTTGGACAAAGGCAGAAGAGATGCATTTGTGTATGCTATCAAAAATCACTATTGGTACCAGATGTATATTGATGACTTGCCAATATGGGGTGAGTGATATGATGCATAAACAAGTTGGTTGCAACTACAGGAGTCCTGTGCTAGTGGGTTTCATGGAGTCATTTAATGACTAAGCTTCATTACAAGAATCTCACAAATATGTAGAACTTATGTAACCAAATACTACACATAAGTTGAAGGATTATTGTACTGAAAGAACAGTAGGATGGCTTGTACTAGTGAACTGCAACAACAGTGAAAAGCTGTTTTGTTTCTCAAGCACTGACTTAATAATAGCAAGTTCTTAGGGTTAAATTCTTCTAAAGGCTCAAGTGAGTGGTAATGAGACAGGTCAGATATAAGGTTCATGTTAATGTGTTCATGAATAACAACTTTCATAAAACTCAGTGTTTAAACTTTATTTTGCTAGTTCTTGTGTTTATTACTAATGCAAGAGCTGTTTGATTTACAGTAGTTTAGTGGCTTTTAACAGTTTTACATCTGCAGTCTGTGGTTATATGAATGAGTTTTATTTTTACTTGCTCTTATATAGTTCTTAAAATTGCTCTTGATGAGTATTATTAATCTGGTCTCAGAAGTGCTTGTGTCTTGAATAAAATTGTTTGTGTCCTTATTGCCATTGTCTCCTAATATCTCTGTTTTTTTGTTACCCCCTTGTAATCTGTCATCACATACCTAGTGAAGAGTGCTTTGCAGATTGCACTTTGCACTGATAGCAATCAACTAAACTCCCCAAGCCCTAATCTCCCTGTTGTAGCTGTAAACTGAAGGGAAATGAAAAGCACCACAAAATGCTTTGTTAAGGTAAGGTCTTTGTTGCCTGTGTTCTGTGAAAGAGGTACAACCGCCCACAACACCTACAAAAATACAGTTCAAGCCACATGATGAAAGTCTTTTGATAGGTAGTATGCTGAATAACGATACCCATCATTCATTCATTCTGAAAGAGGGTGGGGTTTTTTAGCCCTTTCCAATAATTTTAATTTGTTTTAAAAGTAGCTATTTGATGAACATGAGCCCGAGCCAGAGATGCTAGTGCTTTTTTAATTTTTTTATTTTTTTATTTTTTTTTAAATGAGAGTTGATCCTCTGCCTCTACTCTGCTGTCATAAGACCCCACCTGGAGTACTGCATCCAACTCTGGGGTCCCCAACATAAGAAGGACATGGACTTGTTGGAGTGAGTCCAGAGGAGGGCCACGAAGATGATCAGAGAGCTGGAGCACCTCTCCTATGAAGACAGGCTGAGAGACTTGGGATTGTTCAGCCTGGAGAAGAGAGGGGTCTGGGGAGACCTTATAGCAGCCTTTCAGTACCTGAAGGGGGCCTACAGGACAGGGACTTTTTACAAGGGCATGTAGTGATAGGACAAGGGGTAATGACTTTAAACTGAAAGAGGGTCAGTTTAGATTAGATGTAAGGAAGAAATTCTTCACTATGAGTGTGGTGAGACAGTGGAACAGGTTGCCCAGAGAAGTTATGGATGCCCCATCCCTGGAAGTGTTTAAGGCCAGGCTGGATGGGGCTTTGAGCAACCCGGTCTAGTGGAAGGTGTCCCTGCCCATGGCAGTGGGCTTGGAACTAGATGATCTTTAAGGTCCCTTCCAACCCAACCATTCTGTGATTCCGTATGATTGATTTATCTGTTAGTCAGGAAGGTTCTTGCTTTTTTCAAATCTATCTGTTTTTAAGAGATAACATGGACACAGAAGTACTCATATATTGTGTTTGTTCTTTTCAGCTGATTTGCTTAGTGTGTGTAGCAGATCTGTGTCAAAGCTTGGAGCAGACCCTAATTAATCTGTGTGGCCTTTACTATATTTCTTCCACAATTGCTGGTAGGCTTTTTAAAAGCATGCATGACTGACAGTTGTTGCTACAATATTTTTTATGCTTTTTGCCTTTCAGCAAAAGATCAATGAATGGTTTTGCTAGACTAGAGGCAGCTCTGTAGGCTTTAGACTGCCCAGGGATGATGGATGCTAAGCTGACTTCTTTGGAATCCTCTGTGGCTAGCAAGTCTTGAAGACTTTCTTTTTTAGGACTGATTTTTCTGATCTTATTTGGGAACATTTTTTCTCACGTCAAATACTGAAGAACAAATATACTTACTAAATATTCTACACACTGACTAAATTTTATGCTCTCAGCCTGAGAAGTCTGGTTTACTGTGATTCCAGTGTTTTTAATATTCTTCAGCAGTATGCTTTGTATGTACACATTGTCATTCCTAATGCTACAGCTAAAAAACATATAGAATCTAGATATCATATTCATATGATATTAAGAAGCTGGCTTTCGTAGTTGTTTGGAACCAGAACCTCAAGTTGCGATACTTAATGACTGCAGCATTGTAAGTAATTATAATATTATGCAAGGATGTAATCTGACATCGGGTGTGAAAGCAAGCGGTGCTGAAGATCTTGGTCTGTCTCCTGAAGTCTAGGTAAAACTAGGAGGACTTCAGGGTAGGTTAGTCAATGTTAGCCTGGTTTTTATTTCAAAAAATGAATTGGTTATTGATGGGGGGATGAGAAAGGAATGGATAGACCTGAACTGATCAGAAGTGTTTATCTGCAAGTCCGAACAAGTCTTCCTGACCTTTGTGTTCCAACTACAGTTTAGAAAACTCTGAATATAGCTTATCTGTGTTAATTCTGGCTTTTCTGGGTCTGTGTTCAACAACAGGAATATTTCAGACTCTGAGTGCTGCCTAAACCTTAAAGCTCTGAGACTTGCTGCTCACCAAATACTTCTTATTATATTTCTGTTATGAATATGGCATCAGCGATACCATATACACGGCTCCTCCAGTTTCTTGGTGTCTTCAGCTGTGTTGTATAGGCTTCCTTACTACCACGTAATGTGGTGGTAGAGATACTAAGGAGAACTAGTATCTTTTGCTTGATTGAGTGTCATCGCATGGCTGTTAATTTCAGTAATTGTAATTAAAAACATTAGGACTGCTTAAAATACACGGAGTAAGAACTTCAGTAATTATGATGGCATCTCTGAAATACTCTGAATACTGAGAAGTGTTTTTGTTTTATTAAGATACTGTCCAGAACTGGTTACCCTTAGCTTGCATTAAAAATATCTTGTGCTGAAATGGCTTTTTAGTTACTATGTGAAGGCAATCATGTTGATCCACTTCATTTGGATTACCTTTCCTGAGAAGCGTACTAGTCAGCATGTATTTTATGTAGTGTATCATCCAATCCGCTATTTTTTCATTGTTTATTTGTGTCTCGTAGCCAGATAAAACCAAAATTTTGTTCCCTAAATGTAAATGGCTAGAGTCATTTTTTTGTGCTACCAGAAGAAAGTAACCATTCTCTGAAGAGCTTAAAAGAAAATTATTCAGATGGTGCTAATGTTTGCTGGGAATTCTCGGCAACTTCTGATTAATTCTGTTCTTAAAGCAGAACACTCACTTCTCTGGGCTCATCCAGATGCATTTGTGGCACTCCTCCTGACTCCTGGCAAACTTTACTTAAGTTCATGTTTTATGTTCTTCATGGTTTTCTACCTTGTTAAGGCTTACTGATATCAAAGTCATACACATAACCATTAATATTTGAAATTCTCCTTATGAAGTCCTCCAAATATCCAGTAAGGACCACTCTATTTTCAGTAAAGACTAGGCATAAAATAACTTTTCTTAACTGCTGGTAACTACAGGTAATGACTTCAGGATGCTGTTTGAGGGCTTTAGAAGGTTTAGACTTCATTTTCTGACCTGAAAAAAGCAACCAGATCTTTTTAAGTGCATTCAGATAAAATGATTCCATTTTCTATTTTGTCCTGAATTGCCATCCCACAGTGGAGTGGCTGAGCTTCACTGTCTTCATTTCAGGATGTCTCCCTAAGTGTATGGAGCACTGTGTTAGTTCACTCCTTCAGGTAGTGATTGATCAGAATGTCCTATAAAGTAGTTTAGAGGTCTGTATTGTCATGGTTTTGGATACTGCCATGGGAACAGGTGGTATGCCAGCTGCTAGGCTGTATGGCATAGGCACAGACTGGCACCGTGTTTCATGTGGATGGCATATACAATGCAAGCCTGACAGATAAGCATGAGTAAGAAACGTGACAGAAAAACACCACCTTGAAAATTAAAAAGCACAGGTAATGCACAAGTGCCATTCCTTCATATACCTGCTGCCTGTTCCAGATCCTTCACCTACTTGTTCTTCCACTCCCCCCATCTTTGTATATCTTGAGTACTGCTTTTATTGTGGTGATCTTTGGTGTGATGGTCTTGACATTAAAGGTGATGCTTGTAGCCTGTGAACTTGGTGACTGCTAGACTTGACTTTTTTTTTCCCCAGCATAGTACATTCTCTGGAATTTTTCTATATTAGGTTAGACATTTTGCAGTAATTTATTGAAAAGTAAGAATTTAATCATGGCTAATACTGACTTCAGTTGAGTTCTGATGCTCCAGGAGCATCTAAACAACTTTCCATGTTGGAGATAATGGCGGTAATAAAAATCTTCCAGCAAACGATAACTTTCTGAATTTTTCAGTGAAAGTAACAGAGGGAGTGGGGAAAAAAAAAAAAGTAATTCTTGACAAGCATTGGAAGCTTGTATGCAAATGAGAGCAAAAAGTATGTGTTGGGGAGTCAAATAATGAGGAATAGGAGTGAAAGTAAAATTTTTAAGAGTGAGTGAAGGGATAGATGGGAGATGGGAAAATACAGAGTTCTTGGCTAAGTTCTGTTCATGGCAATGAAATCTGTATTCAGCTAGTTGTTTATCTGGTAAGAATTCCAGATAAAACTACAGGAACTGTTGTATCTTCTGTTTCTTCTGCAGCATTTGCAGCTGCATGCTTTTTTCTTCTAATGCCATTACAAAATGCTTCTTGCAGATACCTGTGGATTGAAGGTGTAGTCCAGGTACTAGAGTTGAAAAGAAGAACGTAAAGTCTGCTGTAGTTATGTTGCTTTTTTAGCTAGCAAAACTTTTGTAATGTGTATTTTAAAAAAATAATTACAGAATATTTGAAAAGCATACCGGGTAATAGATGCTTACACTTGTTTCCTATGCAGGTATTGTTGGAGAAGCAGATGAAAATGGAGAAGATTATTACCTTTGGACTTACAAAAAACTTGAAATCGGGTACAATGGAAATAGAATTGTAGATGTCAATCTGACTAGTGAAGGAAAGGTGAAATTGGTACCAAACACAAAAATCCAGATGTCGTATTCAGTAAGTAATTGGGTGATGCATCTGTAATAAGAAATTCTATGTGGTGAAATAGCTCAAAAATAGGTACTAGTATACTTACAACTATGTATTGATACATCAGGCTATATTCACTCCTTCAAATATTTTTTTATTATTACTGAAAAACCTTGATAGGTTTATTAAGAATAAATATTAAATGATGATTTTTTTAAACGCTTCAAACAAACTGAAGCTTCTGTAATCTGCAGAAAAATGTTTTGGTGGGAAAGGAAAATGTCCAAAAAAGTATGGAGACTAGACGTATAGAGGACCCTCCAGTAGGTATGCATTTTCTTAATGTTTGTAGCTCTGACATTTGCATCATAGATTTGAACTGGATTCTGAGCTAGGACCAAAACTCATTGTAAGCCTTCATACTTTGCAAGCAGTTAGTATCAAAGCTTATTTTGTTTTTGCAATTCCAGTGAAATTTGTCTTATTTCTGTAACCTTACTAGTAAGGTTTTCTCTGAAGCCCTCTGCTATTATATTGAATTGCTCTCATAAAAAGTAATAAATAAACAGTGTTTCCTGATCTGAGATAATGAATTAAATTTTTCAGTTTTCCGCTGTACTTACTTGACGTTACTTAAATTTGTCGTGATTCACTTATGTTCTCCACATTTGTGTACTGAAACTAGTTCTTAATGCATTGCTTTTCTATAGTATGTAGATGTCAGCATAAGATTTTTTTCAGAGGAAATTCTTGCCACTATTATATTTGTCTTGTGCTGAATGAGTTGTATAGATTTAAGTACATAAAATTGGTTTTTATATGTGCTTTCTAGAATTATGTTTACACTAATCTCCCTATTTCTTCTGCAAAATTGATAGAAAATTTCAAAATTTCTACTATTTCAGGTTCCACCGGCATTGTGAAGTCCATTTGCTCTGTGAATTTTGAGATGGACAGCACTGAGTAGCTGCCAGTAATGAAAATAACGTTAGATGTTCCCTTAAAATACTTATAGTGTATTGTACAGAGCTCAAGACTTACCTATCCAATTCTGTTGGCACCACTGGGCAGCTGCTGGGCTGGTGTGTGTGTGGTGGTTCATTCACGGATTGTCTCTGGTGGATTTGTTCTAAGGAGTGCTTCTCAGTGGCAAGTGCTCTAAAGAGAAATGTATCTGCTTAAAGCAATGTTGAAAGCCATTAATGTTTTGAGCTGCTAATCTTGAACAAGATTGTAATTTGAACTGAAGGACATTAATACCATCCCTCAAAGTGAGTAGTACTTGAGTCTTGAGGATTTTAATCTGTCTCAGGACTGTGGTGAGTGATAGGGGTATTCAATCTACATTTATACGCTTTCTTCTATACTGAGTAAGAGATCATCTGTTGGAAAGGATAGTTCCTTGTCATGTATTTTAAAAAGATATGCACAAGGGGGCTGCATTTGTTTCAAGATCACTAAAAATCCTGATATTTCCTAATTTTGGCATGCTTTTGAAAAAAATTTAGTGTAGATTTGCATTTTAATTTCTGAAATTGCATTTAAAAATTAAAATCAAAACAGTCGTGCAAAAATTCTGAAAAATAGTTTGCTACCACATTAGCATCATATAGTTCATTAGTATGATTAAGTCTTCCAAATCCAAAGCAGTCCTCTGTGCAGCTAGTGGAGCCACTGACAGCAATAGTATGCTGTTACCTTGTGTTAGTATGGCCACAAACACATACTTTTCCAGCTGGTTTCAGAGTTATTTATCGGCAATTGAAGTGTCTAGATTGCAGTATCCTGTGGTCTTACAGGTTTTAGGCTGCAGCTTTTAGCTTTTAGCTTTTAAAATTTCAACGTCTGTCTTTTAGGGTCCAGCTTGATCCCTTTTATCCAGTTCCTTTCTAGCCAGCTTGTATCTCAGTTTATGCCCTTCTTTCCTATTGGCATCTGTTTTAAATCTGCTCTTATATCTTCTCGTTTCCCTCACTTCTGCTAGACTGCATCTTTTTTCTTGGGCACTGTACTTTGGAGAATTTAGGTACAGATGATGTCACTGAATACTAGTCTCAGTGCATGGCAGCAAAATGGATCTCTGCTGCCAGTGGGGGAGCAAAAGTAGCGGGTGTTGTCATCGCTCAATGAACACTGGTAATGTTCTCCGCAAACCTCTCTTCATACAACACAGCACATGGAAGTGTTGAGAAAAGGGAGTGTGCTGTCAGCAAAAAAAAATTTTCTGGAAAAATGACCATTGCTTTCTAGCATGTCATTCTTGAACATATTTAAACATGCTTTATTTCTCTAACCTTTGTTCTGAAATCTTGGGCAAACTTGGGAGGATTTTTAAATGGTATTGCCTCATCATTTTGTGAGTATCTACCGTGGGAATAATTTTTGAACTATTCATTTAAGAAACTTGAAAAATAGGGTCATTTGATGGACTTCGATTTTGGCACCTTCAGTATGAGTATCTTTATGAGCACCTTCTACAATCATGAAAACAGTTTGTTGTATTTGACAACTAGAAGTTTGCATCTTTGGTTAGCCGTGCAGAGACAGTGAGAGCTGAGGCAGTGCTGCAAGACTGACTCTCCCTTGTTCTTAAACATAAGCATAGACAAGATCAGATCCATGGGGCAAGGTGGTGGATGTTCACAGAATCACAGAAACACTAGGTT